CTATTCCAACTTGAAATAGGTTCGAACTCTTCTTATGAGTCGTATTTTCACCAAACCAATTAAACAACTATGTATTTCTTTATATTCGAATTCTTTATTATCACATTTCGTTACATCTTTTCACTCGTTGTGTAATTTTCGCAATTGTCATAAGCTCTTTCCGTTGACAAGGCAACAACTCTGGCTAAAGAAAGGAAATTCATTTTTACCAGGTTGTACAAGTAACCTATTAATTGGCATAGGATGCCTTAGTGCCGAAAAAGAATCAAAAGGTAGCCATAGCCAAGGTGGTGATCTCGGTAAATGCATGTAGACTTCTTAATTAGATTTTGCTTATTCGAGCACTATGCCAAAAGTTGGCCAACATTAGCCCAAGGCTTTTTAAGTAGATCAGATTTCGTGTTTCACTTTTTGAGCCAACGTAAACACAAAAATGCCAGTATAATAATATTATATTCGCTATTTTTAAGGAAAAAAAAAAGTCTATCTTGAGTTTTGAAATTGATATTAAAAATTTTATAAAAATTTAATGTGGATTTTTTTTTTTTTGTGACAGAGGTCGATGAATGGTGAATGGACCAAGTGATAAAAAAAAGAACTTAAAATTTATCTTTTAACATTTGATTTGATTCCTTTTCTTTTTAACAATTTAACCATAAGTTTTTTGGTTTTAAAAATACTTTTATTTTTTTGTGTAATTACCCTTGCTTTTTCTTTTATTTATTGTTTTTGGAATTTTGTGTGCCGAAGGAGGTGTACGTGGGGGGTCCACGTGATCTGCAAAGTTGTCATGCTATCCTCACTCTTGTCTCATGAAGAACTCTACTTTTGAATTTGTCAACTCCCACGCGCTCTCACTCTCCTGGCCGGGTTGTGTGGGCGAATTTTGTAAAGAACTATAAAGTCAACCTCAATTACCCACTGTAACAATCTAGAACTTCGCCGTACTTTTTTTGAGTTTTTCACGGTCGACCTGCCGGCGGATTCGTCGGTGTACTTCATGGAAAAATTCCAACACCGTGCCTCCGTTCATTCTTATTTACCTACGTAAAAGTCTCTTAGTGAATCTAAAATCTTAAACACCATTAGTCAGAAATTAAATTGAGCATTTTGTTTGGCCATTAGTTCACATATCATCATCAATTTTAAATTGAGCCTTTTAATTGGTTAATATATTAACATGACATCAACAATTTAAAACAAGGCTACAATGGATAATTAATAAAGTTATTTTTCTTTTTTTGCCTACCATATATGTTATTAGCCGAGAGAAATAACCTAATTAATGTGGCGGGCTAAACGACGGCGTTTATAACCCGGTGTTAACAATTAAAATGTCATTTTTTGTGCCCATTTTTACTGCCAATATTTTCAGCCGCTTTTCATCTCTTCCTTCCCCACAAATCTTCCCCTGCCCCAAAATCTTCTGATTTTTTATTGTTCGTGTGCCTCTGGAAAATAGGTTAAGCTATCTAAAGTTTGAGTCATTAAAGATTGGGAGTCTGTCTTAACCAAAGTAAGGAAAATTTTTATCTCTGTTTGTTTCCCTTTCACAGGGATTAATTATTCTAAATTAGGTGCTAAAGTCTCATATATAACTACATTGAAGTAGAATTTGGTACATTGTATGTGAACATTCTTCTTTTAGTGTGTTTTTGTTTATTCCATTATCTTAAAATTCTGCATTTAGTATATGTTAGAGTTGCAAATGATCTTTAAAATACTTAAATATTGAACTAATCACACAACGCGTGACGAGAAAAGTTCTAGTCTACTAAAAATAACTATAGTAATCTTGTACGTACTGTATTTTGTATCTAATGATATCTACATATTCTCGTACCTATTAAGTATTATTCATTTAATGGTTATGATTTATTGTACTAATAACTCTAATTTGTTAAGATGACACACAGTTTTTGTAGGAGAACATCAGTGGCGGAGTCAGGAAATATAGATAGGGGGTGCGAATTTAGAAAAAAAACATACTAATAAACTACGAAATTAATGTAGGGGGTGCGAAAATTATAAAATATGTAATTTTCTTATTAAAAATTTAGGACATCATTATTAATTACAAAAATCAAACAAGTGCGACCGCACCTTTCCGTCCCCCCTAGTTCCGCCACCGGGAACATGTTTTCGGAGTCTGTTAGAGAAGAAAAGTTTAACATTGATAATTGAAAGTAATATAAATTCGTTTTATTTTCACCAAAAAAATCTTTTGTAAAACTTTTACTATCTCTTATCGCATAAGCACTTGTAATTTTTTGTATAACTCTCATCTTTGTAAAACTTTTGTATGCCATGATAAATAGATATGTATGTTTGGCAATGGATAAATTAAAACTGATTTACTTACCAAACTGAAGCTATGTTGAACTAGTGGACTAATATAAGGCATAAAACCAAGTGAAGACAAAATTTGTATAATCTTTCCTTAGGTATTTTTCTGTACAATACACATTACGTTTGTGTAGCTGATAATATTGAAATTCAACGCATCACAAATTTCTCTATTTTGTTATATTACAATAGTTTTGTTTATAAAACAGTCTCCCTTCTCTTTGACAAAAAAAAGGTACATTATGTTTTACATTTTTACCTGAAATAATTCCATTTTTAGCTTTAGTTTAGTTTTTTTTACTACAAAAAATTAGAAAATATGGATCGTTTTTTAGTATGTATTTTTAGATAATTTTTGCATTGAGAATGTAAAAACGTATGATGGGACGAGACACTTATTGATAAACAATGATGAAAAAAAAAAAAAAAACTCCCAAACAGACATAAATTGATCATACAATTATTATTTCTCCTTGGATAGGGGGAAAATACACACACATTTAGCTAATTATCATTTTTAATCTTGCTTGATTCGGATATTATCGGGTGCATGTGATGTGTTTCTTTTGGAGCTCAGTTTTTAGTCAAACATACATTAAATTCAAGGCAGATGTCAATGGAGCTTTTATAGAGTAATATGATTTGCAAATCCAATCATTGAAATGAATGGAACCAAATCATAAACAGAAAATCGCAGTGAATGTTTTCGTGTCATTTCAATTATTAGTTTCTGATTAGAGCATTTTGTGCTGATACTCTCGTACCATAAATATACATCTTGAGAAAAAGAAAGAATAAAAGAGACAAATGTACTGTAGTTCTCACTTAGTGTTGACAATTGCTCAGAAAAAAATTTTTTAGTTGACATTTCAAAAGTGATACAATGCTCCTTCCGGCAAAAAATATTTGTTTTGTTTAATATATTAGCAATTTTTTTAATAATATATAAATTATTTAGTTTAACTATTTCAGTTTCATCAGAATTTTGATTAATAAGTATGTTTATAGGAGAAAATCTTCCATACAAGTGATATACCACGTAGGATTGTGCAGCCAGATACATAAATACGGTACGATTGTAATTTTATTGGAAAAGTTATCACAAAATTAAAGAGACCATAATATTTTCGGATGTGTTACTGCACTAAAAAAGGAAAATCACTTGTTGTATAGAATAATTTTTCTGTTTATAGTAGTACCACTATCACATAGTTAAGTCGACCAGTCGGTTAATATAAAAAGGTACATGGTCTGTCTTTTGTACCGGTTGACTTCTTATCCGAAAAATAATTTTTTTCACTCCTGTGGTGAAATAAAATAAGGCTGAACGAAAAATGAGGGAAGAAAAAAAAGTAGTAAAAAACTAGTACTACTATTATCCTGGAAATAATTGTCGGTCAACCACGCGCAAGTGTGTAAATTAAGTCACACGTTCTCTCCTTGGTGCCGCCCGAGATGTATTAGAGATATGGGCCTTTTTGAGAGCATTTGCAGCAGAATATCATGAGTCATGACATAAAAAAATTGACTACTATTTGACACTTTTTCACACTAGCAATTTACTCTTTTAGTCTTAGTTACAAAATTTGATTACAATTTAACAGTTTTCCACACTAACAAGCTCCGTATTATAAAAATAATACTACTTCCAACTCAAAAAAATAGTCCACATTGAGTTTTCAAATTTGTACAAAAAATATTACAAAATTCAAAACTCAATGTGGACTATTTTTGTGGGACGGAGGGAATACTAATTTGTATTATAAATTGTATGGATTATGTATTGTGGGTCAAGAATAAATTTTGTTAAATATCATCGACATTCTACAATTAAGATGCAATTTGTCCAACTAAAAAAAATCAAAAACCATAATTCTGTTTGGGGAAATTTTTTTTTAATATTCCTTATGTCCCAAAATTATAGTTAATTTTCATTGTCAACTTAGTACAATTTAAATTATAGATAAAAATTTCAACTGGACAAAAATTTTGGAAAAAGTAATACTTCCTCTGTCCCAAAATTAATGTTCAGTTTTAAATTTCACTTTTAGTACTCCCTCCGTTCTATAATTATTGTCCAGTTTTACTAAAATGAAAGATTTTATTTTTGGTCAAATTTAACTATATTTTACCTTAAACAACCGAATATACCCCTACATAAGTAATTGTGTAACCACTAAGATTTTATTGATAATGTTTTTTACTAAGGACAAATGTGTAACTTAATCTATAAAAAGTCAAATTGGACAATAATTTTGAGACAAAATTTTTTGGACAAAGTGGATAATAATTATAGGATAGAGGGAGTATAATTTAAATTAAAAATAAAAAAATAAATTGGACAATAATTATAGAATAGAAGGAGTATTAAATAAAAAAAATGCCACCACTTCTTTTTTTTTCCATACTCCCTCTCTTTTTGTCGGTAAGTGACCACCAATGTGACTCACTCACTCACAAAAAAGGTCACGAGTCACGAGGTCCCCTAAAAAAACACACGCACCCCACCACACCGTGTGGACTTTTTCTTAGGTACAACCACACATCCCCCTCTCCAAACACCCCCACCCTTTGACAATTTCATAAGTCAACCCAGTTGTATAAATGAAGAAATGAAACAAAAAAAATAAAAACCAATATAATAACAATATAGATGATGTGAAAGACAGAAGAAGAAAAAAGAAAAAGATAAGAAAGAAGGCCATTGTCTTTTTGATAATGCCAAGTTAGCTACCCACTCTTTACATAAATAAAAGCATCAACTCTTGTCTTCTCTCATTCACATTCTCTCTTATTATTTTTCCCAAATATTATCTCCTCCCAATTCCCATCATCCCACCATCTCCCACCTCAAAATCTCCAAAAGTCAGCGCCTTCTTTTGTCTCTTTTTCCTCTGTAGCAGAAGAAGCGAAGCAAAAAGGGTTGGAAGCTTTGCAAGACAGAATTTTTTTTTTAAAAGAATGGCAGAGGATTGGGATCTCCAAGCGGTGGTCAGAGGCTGCTGCTCCACCGCTTCCTGCAGCTCCACCGCCGCTACAACCACCGCAGCAACATCCGGCCTGGAAACTCCTCCTCAGCAAGGTCAACAAGATTGCAGCTTTTTCAGCAGTCTTCAAGATCTGTTCTTTATTGAAAGCCAGCAAGATCAGCTTCATGATTTGTACAGACCTTTCTTCCCCAATTCGTCCTCTCCGCCGCCGCCGCCGCCGCCGCAGCCTCTTTCTCCGGCTCAGAAGACTGCCAAAAATACCCCAATCTCGCCGCTATCTGTTCTTGGTGGATTACAAGATCTGTCTCAACAGCAACACCAACTATTACAGCCAATCAAAAAGGAACAGCAAATATGTCAAAAACCCATAAAGCAGAGTAATAGTAGTATTCCTATTACTTTTTCCATGGCTTCTGCTACGACAGCTGGCACTACTAGAACTTGCGGTCCTCCAAGCCACAGGTCTAAAAGAAGGTATGGGAAACAGGGGAATTGATTATTTAGCTCATTTTTTAAACTGATTTTAAAAAGAATGCTGGTAATTGTGAAATGAAAAAAAAAAGATTGAATTTTTATTTTTTAGCACAACCCATTTTTCAGAAAATGAAAGATTTTGGTTGTTTTGTAGATTTTGTCTGATTATTTCTGTGTGATTTTGGGAACAGGAAGAACCAGTTGAAGAGAGTTTGCCAAGTACCTGCGGAAGCTCTGTCTTCAGATTCTTGGTCTTGGAGGAAATATGGACAAAAACCCATCAAAGGCTCTCCATATCCAAGGTTTGTTACTTTGTTAGTCCTCATTTCTCAAACCTTGTCAATTGTCAACTCTTAAAATTAAACAAATTAAAGGGTGCTTTTTCTTTTTGCAAAAATTTGTTCAAAGCAATATTTTTTAGCAAAAATTTCCTTTTCATGATGTGATAACTGAAATTATTCTCAGCAATCGAGCATTTTATCTTTAGCTTTTAGAATATATATCTAGCTAGCATCTGAGTTCGTTTTCTAGTTATTTCTTTCTTCCGGAAAACTCGCTGGAAATTCCTTCTGATTCTTCCACCAGGAAGAGGAAAACAACAGTTTTGAGTTTGACTTGCAATTTTTATTTTTTGAAGTTGTTTAAGGTCAAATGTGCTAACTGTCATTTCTTTTGGTCCGAAAAAAACAGGGGTTATTACCGGTGCAGCACATCAAAGGGTTGTATGGCCAGAAAACAAGTGGAGCGACACAGATCCGACCCGGGAATGTTCATCGTGACTTACACATCCGAGCACAACCACCCAATGCCAACCAACCGGAACACCGTCGCCGGAAACAGTCGCAATAAGCCGTCAAGCCCGCCTCAGGCCACCAACTCCGGCGAACCCGCTAAATCCTCCAGCTCCCCTCCGGTGTCGCCGTCGGCCAGCCTAAATTCGGCGCCGGAGAAGTTCGAGATAGAGAGCAGCAGCAAAGATGATATCCTGGAAGATGAAGATGATGATGCAGTAAATGGATACGAAATGGACGTTATTGATGATGATTTCTTTAAAGGGTTGGAAGAATTCGCCGGGAATTCAGATGATAGCAGCTTCCCGGATCACTTCAGTATGCAATTTCCATGGTTGACGGCGAATAATGCAACCACAGCCGCCGCAACGGCGGCTGCCAGCCGAGGTTGATTCAATCACCGGAGCAGAAAAATGAGCTAAAAAAGAATGATGCTTTTCTTCTCAATCACTCTTGCTAGGAGTATCTTTTTGTCCGTTGGAGAGATGAGAAAAAGAGTGGAAAAAAGAAGAATCTTTGAGATAGAGATTCCAGAGACTTACAGTTGTGTAGATTGGTAAATTAGTAAATTCCCTGTCAACTTTTAGGTTTAGGTGTACTTTGATACTTTTCATCTTTGGAAAATATCAATTCAGTTCATTAGCTTGAATAGTTGATTAGTTTTGAGCCCTATCCTATAATAGTCATTAAATTCCAAATTACAAGTCAACATGTGAATTTTCTATAGGTAAAACAATTAAAGATTTTTCATGTGAATTTTCTATACTATAGAAAGTAGTAGTATAATTTCACTTGGCAAAACTATTTTGCTTTTATAAAATATCATGTGTCACTGTGAATTCGACGATGTAAGAAGACGTTTATGTGTGATTTATCACAAGTGATATACTGAATTGGAACTTTTTCAATATGAGAATAAAAGATGCTCAAAGTAAGTATCATCTTCATTTTTGATATTTCTATTTCCCTTTCAATTAGTCCGTGTACTATAATGTATTGTAATTGTTAGGCATCATTCATCTGGATATGACAATGTTGTAGTAGGCTAGAGGCACAAGATAGAGAGATAGAGGAGTTTTGTGGAGGAAAAGAAAAAACTGAAAAGGGTTGTGGGGGTAATTCTAGTAAAGTATGTGTAAGTTTCGATTCCATTTTTATTGTTTTTTCGTATGATGATATGATAGTAACGTTACATATAGTACATGGTTGGGTGAATTTGTTAAATTATCTTCAATGTTGGATACCTATGAGAGCTGCCCTTTTTTGGGGTTTTACTTTTATTGTTGGTTCACCTACCATAAATTAGGCCAATATAGTACACTAAGATATAGATCTTTATTGTTAAAAAGTGTCAATTGAGCTGCCCAACATTGGTTTTCGGCTAAGACATATCCATTGTATTAAAAGTATATTTATTAACAATAGTTAGAAACAAACATTTATACCCATAGATTTGACATTTACAAAATACATCTAAAACTAACTTGAACTAAGGAAGTTTGTCACAAACAAAGTTTCAAGATGTTGAGCCATGTGCCGATCTTTAAGAATGCATATAGGTGAATTCTCAAAATGTTTTTTTTATTTTTATTTTTTTTAAAGGGATCGATAGTGATTCTCAACTTACTCCTGACGTGATTCGAACCCGTGAGCTATTAGAAATAGAGAGACGTCTTACCAATTAGACTGTATTTTGTAATTTAGTATTTTTTTTTATAATACATGAAAGAATAAAAAGCTTAAATAGATATAAATAGGACAATGCCTTGTGTGATGTTCGTAAGGACCTCATTATAATGGGGCAATGCTTTACTTTTCTTTTTTTTTTTTTTCCTTTGTTGATAGGATAGTCATTCGAAAGTTGGGAACCTGCATAATAATGGGACAATGGTTTTTTTTTAATCTGTTGGGACAAGTGAGAGTGATATTGGATACCTTGGAGTCTCATTGAGTGAAGCAAAGAACATGAAGGTGTCCGGAATTCTTTTTAGTGGTCGTTTTTATTTTATGGGGTTTACTTTTGTTCTAGTTTGGAATTGACAAGCTGGGGGTAGGGACAAAGGCGATGTGAAGAGTTAGGAGTCAACGCACTAGCAATGGTGCTTAAACCTTCTTAGCCTATTTAGTTCCTTTTCGTTTTTTGGTCATTTTTGTTGTTGTTGGAGGAGGGGACCAATAATAGCGTTTTTTTGAGCTCTTCCAAGAAGTAGAGAGAGGGGATATGTAACATTGTTATTGGTGTTGATGAGACAAATCTTTATTGCCAATATTAGCATTTCAATTAGTGATAAAATTTCATATAGGGAGTCTCAACTTCGGACCGGTTAAAAGTTAAAACACACTCTTTTAATGGTGATCTGGTTAGGTCTCAATTTGGAAGACATTTGTTTAGAAACACCTTGCGATATTCGAAAAACAAAGAAAAAATTGACGTCGCTATTAGATACTACTCCCCCGTCCCAGAAAAATAGTTGACATTGAGTTTACAAATTTGTACTAAAAACACTATTAAACTTAAAACTCAATGTAGACTATTTTTTTGGGACGGAGATAGTATCATACATTTTGTTGTCGTAATGGGGATGAATATAAGAAAAGAATAAAGTAAAAAATAATTAATAATAACGTTAAGAGAATTTCATACTGAAAGTGAAATCTAATAATATTTTTTCTCTAATCTAAAAACATTTTGAAACAGATGAAACACTGAATTGTCATCGGCCATTGTCAAATGTGTGTAGGTGATGCAGTTGGTGGGGGTAATCCTGGCAAGAAGGAACTTTTTTCATGGCTGTCCCTTCTCCAATCTTCTTGTTGCAAATTCCTGCTCCTTTCATTCTGACAACGCACTTGGTTTGGTGATCGAATGACTCGCCCAATTTGCTAACGAATATGTTCTTTGGTTAAATACACCGAAACCAGTTATCTCACAAATTATTATTTTTTTCCTTTCTAAGAATGAATTTTCTAATTCCTTGCGTATCGCATTCACAAATATGAATATTTTTGTTCTTGCCAAGTGTCCGATCAAAATCCAGGTGACACGACCCATATACATTTCTTATTTTCCAAATTCCAAGGATAATGTTCGATATAACACCTAAAGAATGAGTGAAAATTGATTAATTAGGATCCGTATCATTATAATAGTCTTATTCATATTGATTGTGAGAAACAGTGTGAAGTATATTTGCTGCACACAATGTGAAAAGTACATTGTACAACTAAGTTATCATCTGGGGATTAAAGAACTCATACGAAATGGAACACACACACACGCACACGCACACGCACACACATAAATGAACGAGTCCTGCGGCAATAACAAATTTGTAATGCCCCTAGACGTTCTAACATCAGTGCTACATTGATACAGTCAACATCGAAAGCAAACAAATTTAATCACCCAACCTATGAAACTGTAAATCTTATCAAGCGAAGAAATTTTCATCAAAGGTAGATTTTAACTAGTGGTTTATACTTCGAAAAAATATGGAAGCTTGAAAGTGCGCATTTGAATATAAAAGAACAAACAGTTCTAACCATCAGGTTCTAGACGAGTTGGCCACAGGAAATCTTCAGAGTACTTCAAGAGGTGTGCAGTTGTTCGATTCTCTCCTGCTCCTCCTTTCTCCGGATCCTTCTCTCTGGTGAAAAATGCGGGAAAAGAAACAGAACTGGAAAGTTCTTTGGATATACAGTATTGTGAAGCATGTTTCTTGCTCGAAGAAACTGTATATGAAAGCAGGGGAACTTAAAAGTTTTTTACACACGACAGAAGGCCAAGGCGGATGGTAAAACTTTATTTGTCTGTACTTATATCCAAACAAAAATGAACAATTTACAGCACTCGGGTTACTAACAGGGAAAATATTACATCTATGTTACGACAGGAAAACATATGCTTCAGTTCTACAACATCAGGATGCGGTTTTATGCTTACAATATCATGCACTATCACACGAGTAAAAGCTCATCTGATATAAAGTACCTTACAGCAGAGCGCAGCATTGTCATTTCTGGGAGCACTGTAAATAAATTTATGAATGAAGGAACATGCAGCACATCAACCTAAAAAAGTTCAAATATATAGTGACCAAATCCCGCCTTTGTAGGAGAGTCAAGTTGCTTTAAAGTTATTTGAGCGCAGAAGCAGCTAAATCTGCCCATACATTTGAGCATAGCTGCAAGCCATGATTCTAAGTCTGCAAAAAGGGTGCAATTCTAGCCAATGTATGAACTACTAGGCTGAAGCAGATACCTCGAATCCTTGAACAAATCTTCTAAGGTTTTTCAATTGGCCAGCTGCAGAAAGCCACCGAGTCAGAACCTCCAGGGTTATGTAATCAGGATTGCAGGCATTTTCTGTCATTTCATTCATTAGAGTGAACGCTTTCTCCAACATATTCCTCTCTTTTAGGCCTTTAAGCAGTGCATTGTACGTAATGGTGCATGGTTTAACCTGTTTGCTCTTCATATCGTCCAATAGAGAAAGAGCGACTTCAATTTTGTCACTCTTGCAATGGGCATCAATCAATATATTATAAATAACCGTGTTGGCTGATACCTTTGAAATGACACTCATATCCCTATATAATTTCATAGCTTCATCCAGATAACCCGCCTTGCAATAAGCATCAATCAATGCTCCAAAGGTCACAACATTGGGAACCAAACCAACATTTTTCATGTTCTTTAACACATTGCGGGCAGTGGTGAAATCCCCCTTTCCACAGAAATGGGAAATTAGAGTATTATATGTAACACGATCAGGCTTTAGTCCTGCGTGTTCCATCTCTTTGAAGAAATCATACGCCTCATCTAATCTATTTTTCTTACAAAATCCACCAATAAGAACATTATAACTGATGATATCCAAGCAGAAGCCAGCTTCTTTCAATTTAGACACCAAAAAGAGAGCATCGTCCATCCTTCCCGATTGAGTAAGACCTGATATCAAGCTGTAATACACTTTTGCATCAGGAAAGCAACCACTTTGCACCATTTGGTCAAACAGACTGAAGGCCTTATCAATGTTGTTAGCACCACAAAAGGCAGTAATCAAGATAGTGTAAGTAATGGCATTCACTTTCAAACCCCTTCCTTGCATCTCATCAAAGAAATCCATTGCACTACCAACTTGTTCACTTCTGCACATTCCATCCAGTAAGGTATTGAGAGTGATCACATTCGGGTCTACTCCTGCTTTGCTCATCCTGTCAAAGAGTTCAAACGCTCTCCTAATCTCGCCAGCTTTGCACAGTCCATCAAGTAAACTATTATACGTTACAGTGTTTGGTTTACATCCACCCTTCAAAGTCATCATATTCTCCATCAACTCCAACGCTTCTTCTATTCTACCCACCTTACACAGTCCATCAATCAAAGTATTGTAAATCACAACATCCGGTTCAACCACCACCAGATCACTACCTTCCTCAACATTACCCCCTTTCATTCTTCCAAACATTTCTAATGCTTCGTCCACTCTGTGGAACTTACACAAATGATTAATCAAAATCCCAAATGTCAAAACATCTGGCTGTATATCCTTTTCCTTCATTTCCTGCATGAGCAAATTCATCCTTTTGAAATCCCGCTCTTTACCCAACCCAGTCAAAAGGGCATTGCAAGGTGCAGCTTTTAGATTGCCACCCAATCTCATTACCTCATGCAAAAGCTCCCAAGCCTTATCCAATTCTCCGTTCCTATGAATTCTAGTAATCAGTTGAGTTAACCAGACGCTGTTAGGAAATACACCATGTTCACCACACTCTGAAACAATCCTGAAAATCTCCTCCTCGCGTAGGCTCCTGCCAACCCAATTCCTAGTCAGAAACGCAGACAAAAAGATTTCCAACGTGTTCTTGTCAGGAGAAACGTCCAACTCTGAGTCAAGAATTTCCTCGAACACTTTCAATGCACCATCTACTTCTCCAGATTTCAGCATATAATCCAATAGCAAGTTAACCAGATAGATGTTCCGTGATTCTGGGTCGAGTTCTTCGAACACATTCATGGCTTCTTCAAGCATTTTAGCTTGTCCAAATGATTTAATCAAGAGGGTGGCGGCATTAATGGAAAGAGGGATTTTTTGCTCCTTGGATAAATGAAACAGTTCTCGCATCTTCGCAGGGGCTCGGTGGCCTTCCTCCCTCGCAGCGAGCTCGAGGACACCTTGGAAAGCGAAAGACAGAGGAAAAAGGCCATCATTGTGCGTCGGGGATGAAGAATTGATCTTGGTTTTGAGGTGGTCGAAAAAAAGGAGGGATTTTTGGGAGGAACCCAGTTGGCGGGTGATCTTAAGGAGTGAAGTAGGGGAGGCGGAAAGGAGTAAATAGTGGAGATGGGTGTTGGCAGACCACTCATCTGGATTGGTGGTTTGGATGATGGAGAGGATTTCTTGAAAGGGTTTTGGTTTGGGTTTCGATTGTGACGGCGGCGAAGGAGAAGGGTCCTCAGAGCTTGTTTGGGTTTGAATGCAAAGATGGCGCACGGCGGAGATGGCGGCGGGGGCAGGTTTTGACGGTGGTTTGAGGAGGGGACGGAGGTAATGGGGGTTGAATTGTTTGAATTTCATGGCCGCTGCTGCCTGTGAAGAAGACGGAGGAGGAATTTGTGAACTTTTGAGTCTGAAATGAGTTTCAAAATTTTTGCTTTAAGTACTTTTCTTTATGAGGTCCATTCCGGTCATTTGTTGAGTTGAGTCACACACTCATATGTTTGTTTTGTGTTTAAATGTGTACTAGATCCTCCTCCCACGTAATAAATTGATATGTAAATAATTAAAATTGATTAGGAATGAATTTAGTTTTTATGAAGATAATTAATTGACCGAAAATTAATTTTTTCGAAAGTTCTAAATAAGTGGAGAAGGAAACTTCCATTTACTGTCAAATTCAAAATTTGAATGAACATGGCCATCTGATCTCTCCGTTAATATTGTAAATATATTTTTTGTTTTTAACACGGGGTGACACGTGACAAAATAGTTTATGCAATATGATGCATTTGGAGCCAAAACATTTTAATAAGAAATTGCCACATCAGCATCCTGTTTTCTGCTTTAATAGGGTAAAAGAGATTTTTAGGTGTTTTTGATATTAACAATGTAAAAATATGTATTGAAAATGTAAAAGGATATATTGAAATTAATAATAAAATATTTTGAAAAACCCACTAATAAAAGAAACAAACAGAGGCTCGGGCACTTTCCACTCGTTAGGAATTGGCCAAAATAAATGATTTTTTTTTTCACATCGAAAAATTCACATTAGATAGTTAGAGACACAGATAGTAACAAATCAAAAGATTTACAAATTATCTTTGGTCACACTAATCCTAACTATAAGGTCCAAATTGATACCAAATTATTGTTTGAAAGTCCAATAAAATGCAAATAATAGTGTATAAATCCATTGTACTTAATTAAGCAACCTACAATAAGGACAAGTATTAGCTCCACGTTGAATATTTTTCCGTCAAAAAATTTTTTCAGTACAAAATCAGTTTTGACACGTGACACTATAACTATTCCGAAAAAAAAGAGACGGCAAACAAAAAAGTAAATATAACAATAAGTTTAATTTAATAAAAGGAAAAAAATAAATCAACAAAAACGGGAAAGGGAGAAATTCACGGGAACATATCACATCCAAAATCAAACTTGAATTTAAAAACTTTAAACACAACCGGAAAATCAAAGACGTAAATCTTAAATTGTAAACTGAAATCCATATAATGGAATCGAGAATTGATATGACCTTTGGCATCTTTTAAGTCCGCATCCACCTCAGTCCCAGAATATTCTCAAAGTCAAGTCTCCGTTGGATCTTACGGAACAACAACAATCCTCCATCAACACAGTCACCAATATGAAGAATCAGTCGGAGTCACCATTCCGATTCTGACCCTGCCGACGCTTGGGTGGAAAAATTTCTTTTTTTTCTTTGCCGATCTAAAGTTAAGTTGTCTTTCGATGCTAAAAATTGGTTGTTCCAGCCGCGATTCTTCTTGAAGCCCTTTTTTTCAGTCAGAAAGGGTATTGCAAATATGTTGGTCTCGGATTATCTTCATGAATAGATCTAATTGTCCTACTTCATTTCCTGTTATTGTAGTGATGCGAGAATACCTTGATTGATTGTATTTTTGAGCCATCAAGTTTTGGACTCGGATGCAGGTTCTTTATGAATAATGGAATTCTTCAAAGATAATTTCTTTGATTGGGGTTTGGAAGGTGGTAACAGGGCCCGTTGATGATGGAAACAATTGGAGTGATTCTTCTCCTCAGGGTGAGAAGAAAATCCCCGTAGAAAATGCCTCCGCTACAGCTTCATTGGCAGCTGTGACCATCAATAAGTCCTTCTGCACTCACCACCGTCTTTCTGCACAGTTTTTGCCATAGTAAGAAATTTCTCATCATCTCTCATCATGCTTACGATCTGTTTTAAATTTTTTTGTTTTCAATTTTTTTTTATCATTAAAGGGGGGTTTTGTTTTTCCTGGTGTTTGGATCGGTTATATTGTTTTAGATGAGTAGCTTTCATGTAGCAGTCCTATATAATTCAATAACTTTATTAGATATGTTGTTGATTTTTCTGATTAGCTCCACTTAATGTTAATTAAAAATTTTACCACAATTCCTCAAATAGTTGAACCTTTACTTGATAAGATTCTTCTAATTAATTTGTTAATTGTTTCTTCAGGCCTAGGATTAAGGCAATGCGTTCTTACCACATACTTTTCATTGCCTTACGTCGTCGCTCTCCATGTTGTCAAGATCTTTAGCATCTAGCGGAACCGTTATTTTCCTATCATAATCAACAAGCTAATTGTTTCCCTTCTTTTCTTAAACAGCAAAGAAGAAAATGAAATATTTTATCAAAACCAGGTAATAAGGATGAGCAACTGTTGTTTATCTTGATTTCCATTTTATAGAGGAGCTAATTCATTACACAACCCTTTTCTCCAGAAGCAGCAATCCACTTCATAAAAACCCATTAGCGTATCCAAACCTCAGATAAAGCAAACTTTTAGGACAAATGGAACAGCAAGATCAGTTAACCTGGATGCTGTCAGATTACAAGCTGTGCAGGTATGTGCTATAAAGCTATTTACATCTTCTATGATGTATCTGAACAAAGTTTGAAACCATCCATGAATTAGTTTGGTATTTAACTGGTCTGTGCTAGCAATTTCTGTAATTTGCTTGGTTTCTGCATTCATTCTAAACCTTTCAACTGATGATATTTTAGCTGGTTTGGGTAGTTCTGTTTTTCTTCTATTCTCCAGTCATTGGTTGGTGGAAACTATTCCATTTTAATTTGGAAAACAGAAATTCCTTTGCCTAATACCCTTTGTACTTTTTCCTGTAAAGTTTGTTGTTAGACCTGGGAATTCAAACCCTGTAGTTCATAAGCCACCACGAGTCACGAGCAATGCAAAACCCACCGCAAGTGTAACATCTAAAAGAGCATCATTAGCTGCTACTGAGACAAACAAGATTGGAACTATAAAGACAATCGTTGGTGCTGATAATGCATTTATCTTTTGTTAGATCAGAATCTTTCACAGAAGATTTGTTTGCTATATTAACAAATCTAAAAATTTGCAGTTCCTGGTAGAGTGTCTTAGGCATCTAAGGCAAATGTTTCTGGTGTTGCTCACCGGTTGCTTCCAAAATCTGCATCACCTTTCAAGGGTCCATCTTTAGATTTTGAAATACTGCTTTTATTGTTGCTTATTGTTGCACTTGACACTGGTTTTACTGTTTTTATTGTTGCTTTGATAGGTCTCTGCAGGAAAATTAATATAATGGGAAGATTCCAGATGTCTTTGTGCAAGCCCTTGCGGTTTTGTAAGTGATCAAGTTCAGTGAATGCAACATTTCTATGATCAAATGAGAGAGCCATTGCATCCAACATGAAGTTGATCCCTTAGGTTTTCAAAGAATGCAATTTCTGTCGAAAATGAATGCTAGCTAAATTCTGGTATGCCTTTGCTGTCCACTCTTCTTTTTCATCTTGCAATCACCTCTACTGTTTCATCTTTTTACTTAGGGTGCTTTAGAGCATTTTGCTATTATTGTTTCGAAACATTAAAATTTAGAAAGGTTATTGGAGCTGTAACATGACACGGTACAAAAATTTGATGAGCAGCCAATGGCAAGAATTTACTCTTCAACCAAGCCAAAGCATCCTGAGGGTTTTATACCTTCGGGATTCCAATGAAATTGAGACAATGGATGCAAAATGCAAGAAAATTTTTGGCTTATTTTTTGCAAAATTCAAAAGGAGCACGTGAATCAAATGAGTGACCTTTGTGGTAGATTGGAACGGAATAAGCACCTAAGTCTGGCAGCAAGGTGAGATGTTGTGTCGTACAAGTACTTATTCACGATGAAGTTACAGAGTTTCAAACATCTCTCGAATGGCATGAAGTCTTTGAAGCATAAAATTCAGTTACAGAATTTTGATCCAGATCAAATGTTCGTGTAACGGTAACGATTTATCACAATATTCAGTTGGCAATCACAATTTTGGACAACAACGATTATGATGGCGGGAATGTTTGATGGGATGGTGACAAACTTGTGGGTTCATGCCCGTGCTAAAGTTTTAGAAATCAGTCATTCGTTTGTAACTTTATACTAATACAAACCTATTCCTTATGAATATGTAAATTAACCCTTTACTTATTTTTGTATGTTATTTGTCCAAAAAACATAGTTTCATTGAATCATGTTTTCCTATCTGCCATTTCATTTGCACTTTTGGAATTATGTTTCATATTAGTTTGATTCTACCTTTTTTTTTTTGGAATTCTTTTCTACCCATACTTTGTTTCGATTTTTGATGTTATTCTTCTTATATACTCCCTCCATTCCAAAATAAATATCGTTGGAGGAAAACTAATTTAGCATTTTAACCAAGTAACAATTGTCTTCTTAAACTTTGTGCAATTCCTCCAACGATATCTATTTTGGAATGAAGGGAGTATATTATATTAAAAAAATTCTTGATTCGAAGAGTTTTTCTTTAACTTAAAACTCAGGCGTCTCCGGGCATTCGCCCAGAAAAGTTATACTTATATTAATACATTTTATTATAAATAAACTTTTCAAGAGATTGTCCGGACATCTGCCCGGGCCAAGTATCTAGTTTTGCCTTATGTGAGAATCTTAAAGCCCGAAAGTTCCAGCTGAAAAACACATTACTGTTGTTATCAAACCTTAAAAAAAGTCAGTTTATTCAATACAAAATAACAAAAACCAAGAAATACATAATAGCCCACAAATTTTTGAGGCATTATTAGACTTTGTCGAAGTACTGTACTGTACACAACTCAACTACAAACTGCCCAAAAAGATAATCTAAAGACCTGACCTTTTCACTTCAACAGTGGCAATGCGGGCGGCAATCGGCCCACTTTATTGTTCCCGCTTTATATCATCTGTAGTACTAACACCCGGCCCACCTTCATCTCCTCCACCTCGCCCTCACCGTCTCTTTTCAATTTCACCACCACCATCATCACCGATTGATTCACGAAAGTGCACAGTCATCAATCACGCTTTCAGTACACCACTTGCGATTTCCGCCGCCGCCGCCATGTCAGCCGGGATGACGACTTCTAGTGATAATGACAAAACCATTCCGGCGCATGTTGTTGGAAACTGGTATTCCGTGCCGGAGCTCCGGCTTCGTGACCACCGTTTCTCAGTTCCCCTCGACTATTCTCGCAGCAGTAGTACTAATCCAAAGATCTCCATTTTCGCTCGCGAGGTCGTCTCTGGTATGAGAAGCTCTTCCCGTCTTTCACTGCTTTGACTTTTGCATTTTTTCGGTGTTCTGTTTTCTTTTCATCTCAATTAAGTTCTAGAGCAGGATAAGAAAGTTTTGAATTTTAGGAAGGTTGGACCGTTGGAATCATGATATTTGAGGAGTTCTATTTCTTAGTTTGACTTTGCGTTGAGTACGTATATAGAGTAAAAAGTACTATTTGATTTTGCATTGGATATGCAGGAAGATGTTTTTGAAATGTGAAAAGTCACAATCCAAGTGTGAGAACACTCTATTGGAACTATATTGTTTGCAAAGTTGAAAATTTCCAAAATTTGATTTTAGATGTAAACAAGTCTCATTGCAAATGTAGTGACGCACTATTGAAAATGTGTTGTGACTGTAAGAAAAAAAAATGCTTGCAAAATTAATAATTACAGCGATAATGAAAGATAGAATGCTGATCGTGCAGGGCCTTAGATTTCACACTTTGCATAATGGATTTTTTCCCTGGGATCAAATTCTGTATGGTGACTTACACGGCACAAGAGACTGCAATCAAAGTCATTTAGCGAATTCACCAACTGTTCCTTTAGATTACTATTAAATTTCCTTTCATTGGGGAAACTTGTATTACAGAAACTGAAAACTCTGTCATCTAGTTGTTGATATCAAACCGTTGTGAAAATTGAAATTGGGTGAGGAAATGTCAGCATCATCCTTATTTTGATTTTTGATCCTCTGATTCCCCTGGTAAACCTTTATCCTCTAAATGGAATGCGATTGTTTAATCTGTGGTCCTCTGGTAAATGTTTGACTGATATTTCTTTTAAACATGTCCTTCATTATTGAGAAAGATGTCTCATTTGATCCTACCTTATCATTATTATTATATGGGATAATCACCTGTGTGCTCAATTTGTTACTTCTTCTTTTTAACAAGCTTTCTCTAATTGAGGATGATACTTAGTGCAGTTGGGAAAGAAGATCAGTCCCTACCGTACCTACTCTACTTGCAGGGTGGACCAGGGTTTGAATGTCCGCGACCTACCGAAGCTAGTGGATGGATTGGTAAAGCCTGTGAAGAATTTCGTGTAATTTTGATGGATCAGGCATGTGGAGACCTTCTCTAGCTTTCTAATATTCGCATTGTTTGGTAATACGAAATGCTGATTTGTATTTTCAATGTGCAGCGAGGAACAGGTTTGTCTACACCCTTGACACCATCATCTTTGTCCCAATTCAAATCTGCTGAGGAACAAGCAAACTACCTATGCCATTTTCGAGCTGACAACATAGTTCAAGATGCTGAGTTTATCCGGAAATGCATTGTTCCTGATGGTGGACCATGGACTGTTTTGGGACAGGCATATTTTTCAACTTCCTGTTCTTCTTGTTTCCCTTGTTTTTTTTTTATTTTATTTAATTTTGTTATGATCCTAATTATTCTGATAAGTGCAAGCACTTCGAGGTTTTAGTATGATCAGATCTCGTCCTATAATCTTTGCATTTTGCAATGTAATGTATTTCAAATTGCACAAATGGAGTAGTCTGGATTGCTGATGGATCTTATTCTGTCTGTCGTTATGGTTATTTGTAATCAAATGATTTTAAAGTTTCCATCACTTGCAATTGAAGAATTGTGCTTTGAGATAAAGTGAATGTCTGTAATGGGACATGTAGATTTTAGATACTGAAGTTTGCCTTCTTTAACTGCAGAGCTATGGAGGCTTTTGCATCGTGACTTATTTGAGTTTTGCTCCACAAGGACTAAAACAAGTTCTTATAACTGGTGGTATTCCTCCAATCAGCCCTGGATGCTCTGCAGAGTTTGTATATAGAGCATGCTTTGAGCAGCTTGTTCATCAGAATAAAAAGTACTATGAGAGGTTTCCTCAGGATGCCGAAGTTGTTCGTGACATTGTCAATTATTTGGCCGAATCTGAAGGTGGCGGGGTAGGGGAACTTTAGAACATGGGAAATTTGTATTCCTTTCTCCTGTAATTAGTCTCCTCCTTCTTTTATTGAGTTTCAAATTACCTTCTCTGCTCATATGTTATTCTGGTGTTTATGTGATGCTCACATACATGTAATAAGCCTGCAGGTGGCTTTACCGTCTGGTGGCATTTTAACTCCCCGAGGATTACAACTTCTTGGTTTGACGGCTTTGGGATCAAGCACTGGTTTTGAACGCTTGCACTATATGTAAGCTTATATCCTGGCCATTTTAAGGTTGTTTACGTGGAATGATGCTTGAAATGATTTCAAGTTACTTTTCTGGTTTATTCTTATTCTTACAGGTTGGAGAGGGCGTGGGATCCAGTTTTAGTTCCTGCAGCTCAGAGGAAAATTAGTCACTACTTTCTGAATGATGTAAGTGAATCATTCTATTATTTTTCTGACAAATGTTCAATGTTTGTTAGTTTCATGTTACTTTTCACTTGTTTGAAAGTTTTTAAAGTCGCTAACTTGGGATCTTTTATGTTCATGCAGTATGAAAGTTGGTTGTCTTTTGACACAAACCCTTTGTATGCCCTTCTGCACGAGTCCATATATTGCCAGGTAATCGTACAATTTCTTGTTCTCAAACATTCATGCACGGTCCTGGATTAGGGTCCAGTTTTACGTTCATGCATACTGGAATTAAAATCTGAAATTCGAGTCTACATTAGCTTATTCCAATTTTTGACATTCCCACATCAGAGTTTTCTTACCTCAATCTGAATGTGTTGTTAAAAATGTCTGTTCTGCTATTGAAGCTGTCTTTTCTCTTGACTATTGTGAATTCAAGGGTGCTGCATCACGTTGGGCTGCCCAAAGAATAAGGGCTGAACACGAAAATAATTTTGACGCCATTAAGGCAGCCAAAGAAGGTCGCCCGGTACTCTTTACTGGAGAGGTCAGCATTTCATTTTCTTCTTTACATGCTAAGTTTAAAAGTTGAGAGATTGCATCATTTGCCTCTCAGAAAAGGGGAAAAGCAAAATTTTCTTTTAGAGCAACATATGCAGATTTTCACTGAAATAACAGTGTTACGTATCTTAAGCGTGTAAGTGTTATTCTTTGCCTCTATAGATGATTTTTCCATGGATGTTTGATGAAATACATGCTTTGAGGCACTTGAAAGATGCCGCCCATTTACTAGCGGAGAAGGAAGACTGGCCGCCATTGTACGACCTCAACTCTCTGAAAAATAACAAGGTATGCCTACAGGTTTTGAAGGCTCAATTTTAGTGACAATGGGCAGTAGTAGCCTTTCACCTATTCATAAGGATTTGCTTAGCTTTAATCGAAATTATGCTATACCATCCAAAATTGTTGTCTTTTACATACAATTAGAAGCCCTTTGAAATGATATCCTGCAGCAAATGTCAGTTGAGGGCTCACTCGCTATAGAAAATATTCACATTTTTATTTTTTTTTATTATGATGTTGTGAACAGGTTCCCGCTGCGGCTACTGCATACTATGAAGACTTGTATGTTAACTTTAAGTTGGCCATGGAAACAGCCTCTCAGATTGCAGGCATTAGGCTGTGGATAACTAATGAATACATGCACTCAGGTCTGAGAGACGGAGGCGGCGTTGTCTTGGATCATCTGTTTGGGTTGCTAAATGGAAAGAAGCCTCTGTTTTGATAATTTGAATTGTGTGTTGATCTCCATCTCTGGGAAGCTATTGATGGATGTGTGAATATTGATGAATGTTAATAAAGAAAAGGCAAATAGGCCCTTTTTCCCTTAAGGGTCTGAAACTGAATGTACCTTTAGAGTTGAGGGAGAAAAAGCTTGTATGAGTAATAAGTATACATTTTTTATTTTTTTTTATCCCTTCCTCTAACAACTTACATATAGCATTTAGAAAACAAATCTATCTAACTACCTAAGTCCTGACATATACTCCATCCATCCTATAATTATTGGTCCAGTTTGGGTTTTCATTTCTAGTTTAAATTGTACTAAAAGTGAAATCTTAAACTAAACAGTAATTTTAGGATAGAGAGAGTATTTATTTTTCGTGTGTTAGAAGTTGGAACGATATAGGTACAATAACATGATTGTAAAAGGATAAATAGGCAAATTGAGATTCAAATTATATTTTTTAAATGGAGAAATTTTGCTTGTAGTATGGAAACCAAAGATATCCAAAAATAGATGGCTTGGATATTTGATGTGTTAAGGTTGAAACCTGAAATATATTCTGACATATTTGCAAACTTTTCCCATCTAAATAGTGAAATTTTCACTTCAACCCCGGTCGTCTTCGCCGGTAACAGGTAAAACCCAAAACCCTGTACCCCTTCTTCGTCTGCCTTTCGGCTAGCCCTCAATTTACACTGCGAAATGAACATATGAGGAACTCGCTTTGAATTTCTACATCTCGATTTCTGATCACTATTCATTGTTATTATTTTCCGATTGAAAGGAAAAAAATGCACCGATCTTCTGCAGCTGTGGTACTAGCTCGTCAATTGAGAAGCCGAGGCTTCTCCTCCTCTTCTACTAGCGGCGGCGGCGGCGGCGGCGGAGGAGATGGCAAAATCGTAGCCTCCGTACTCTTTGAGAGGCTTCCGGTTGTTGTTCCGAAAATCGATCCTGTCGTCTACGCATTCCAAGAGTTCTCGTAAGTTCTATTTTAGGTTATATGTAATGTGAAATTGCAATACTGCAATCCTTTTCAGTTTGCTTAGCTGTAAGCATTGATGCGACTAATTTGATTTGATAGTTGGACATCAAAGATTATAGTATTTTGTTTAGGATGCGATGGTTTCTAATGCTGTTTTTGAATATTGTTTGGTTGAACATTTAGGTTTCGCTGGCGACAGCAGTTTCGAAAAGAATATCCTGAAGCCTTCCTGAAGAAGTCTGAAGCCAGGTAGAGTTTTCTGGTTGCCTTCTTCATCATGGAAAAGGCTTATGTTTCTGATTCTTACGCAATTATTCACTCTATTGTAGTTTATATTTGTTTCAGACTGAAGTATCTCTGCTTGATAACTTGTGGAATAAAACAAAAATTATCTTTTTCGATTAGAGAAACTAGGATTTATTCAGCTGCTATGTTAGTGATAGTGAATTGCCATGTGTTAGAGTTGCTTGCCCGAAGTCTCTCAATAGTTTCAGAGTTTAACTCTCAAAATCTGGTTGTTTTAACTATGTAATTAGAAGATATAAAATCGAGTATGAGTTGTTTGGACTTTGAGATTCTTTCATTCGAAATGCATTTTGCAATCTGTGAGAAATATTTTTCCTCAACCTTCAACTTTAAGCCTTATTGAATCTCCATGTTATTCTGACACCAGTTGTGAATTATAATCATCAGGAATTATTGAAACCATATTGAAATTGTACTTGTCGCTAATAGTACGTAAAGAGTCTGTTTGTAGCTCTTTTCGGTGTGTTCCTATGTTTTACAATGTTAAATGTTATTTCCCTCTTGCAGGGGACAGGGCGAATACCAAATGGATTACCAACCAGCCCCCAGGATTACTGAGGCTGATAAAAACAGTGACACGAAGTATGTAACAAATACTTGTTTTTATTGAGTGGAAAACCTCTGATACTACTTGACTTATTACGTGTGTTTTTGGTTGGTATTCTGCAACCTTTTTGAAGGTTAAAAAGTTTTGCCTGTGTAAATTTTAGTTGCAGTTTTCATCGTGTATGCTCATCTTTGTTTTACTGTCTCCATAAGGAGTATAACTTGTGATCTGTAACTAAGAATAAAGGTCAAGCTTTCTGAATCGCACATAAAATTATTGTCAAAATGAAGTCCAGTAGGAGGAGTAGAAGGAATATTAATCTTAACAGAATTCCAAAGTTGAGGTATTTTTGTCTTTTAAATGGTTTTCTTCTTTTTTGAAGATCACTACAGAGAGCTCTTGATAGGAGGCTGTATCTTCTTCTTCATGGTCCTGCATATGGCTCTCCTGGTGGGCAGCCATGCTGGCACTTTCCAGAAAAAATTTATGAGTCTGAAGATACTTTACGCTTGGTAATTGTGCTATCCAGTGGCAGTTATTTTTTTGCCTTGAGGGGAATATTTAGGTTTGACATCTGAAATTGGAGAAATTTAACTAATTTCAAACACATACAGTGCGCCGAAGCAGCATTAAAATCTGTGATTGGAGACCTGTCTCACACTTATTTCGTTGGAAATGCTCCTATGGGCCACATAGTCGTACAGCCTACTGAGAGCAATCCAGACCCTTTGAAGGTAGGTCAAGTTGATAATGATCTCTACCTCCATGATTGAGTGATTTGGTTGTGCATCTTTTTTTTATTCGACATTTTTCATTTGTTGCCATTTGTATGTTTTGCAGCGGTTTTTCTTCAAGTCTCAAGTGATTGCAGCCAACAAATTCAACATTGGAAAGTGTGATGATTTTGCATGGGTGACCAAGGATGAACTGTTAGAGTATTTCCCAGAGCACGCTGAATATCTAAACAAGATGATCATCAGTTGAAGTGATATCTTTCGCGGTTTTGTGATGTAAGGTTTGGCTCCTGAAGTTCACTAACATTTTTTGTTTTAAAGACAAGAAACCATTTAGTTCAGAACAGAGTCGGAAAATTTTTTAGCACGGTCTCGTGTTTTTGCTAGCTTTAGCAATCATCTATTGTTGCATTTCCATGAATGCTGTGGTGAGAAACGTCCTGGGGAGATAAATAGCTTTAGTCAAATGTAGAAGAAACGTAGGCAAAAAGCTCAGTTAGGTTTCTTCTTTTTCCTAGCTGATCTGTGTTGTAAACCTTCTGTTATGAAGAGATTATGACTACATTGGTCTTCCTATTCTCTTTGAGCTCCTTCCTACGGTTTTTTGGCATGTGATGCTTGCTTCCCAGGTTTTACGGAGTACAGAATAAAAATACTTGAAGACTTCCATCTCTGTTTTATTGGGACTGCATTTTACCTCTTAGTTGAGAAGTTGGTAGCATACTAGCATTGTTTCACTTTTATTTAGTGGGATGCTGTGTTCGTTACAAATTTCTTCTAGACAATAGATTCGCTGATTTGTGTTAAATACGAGGAGGGAACAAGAAACAGAGAGAATAAAGTCCTAACTAACTACATATATAGTACATTTCAGGGAATTGGTTTTCTCTTTTCCTTCTTTTATTTGATTTGGAAAATATCTATATGCTAGCTTGCTCCATCCCAAAAATAGTCTGCTTAATTGAATTACTTCCTCTGTCCCAAAATTATTGTCCAACTTAAAATTTCACTTTTAGTATAATTGAACTAGAAATGAAAACCCAATTGGATATTAATTATGGGGCGGAGGAAGTATCTTTTAAAATGAGAGGAGTACATGATAGGGTTTTTGGGGGGGGGGGGATAGGAGATAGAATGATTAAGGAGAGTTTATTTGTTGTCGTGAGTTTCTGACCAGATATATTGTCCCAAACTTGCTCCTTGTGATTGAAATGAACAATTAATGATGTTATTCAGCTCAACCTATTGTTCGTTCATATTGTAAAAGATGGTCTCCTTTCTAAAAGTTCGGTTAACAGTATTTTGCATATTGGATTAAAGAGCTTATTTTCTACCTTTGACGTGTCACAAGGACTGCAATTGTTCCTTCCTCAACCTGCGAACACTTTTTTTTTTCTCCAATTTATATTCAAAATTGATAATTAATATAGAGGGGTCAATCCATCTTTCATCACCAGCATGTTTTGATCACGACATTTCCTCCCCAGAAACAAAAAGAAATAATATACTACTAGTCTCACCTATGTTAATAATTAAATATTCCAGTATTAAATTTTATTTCTGCTTCAGCTTAAAGCTTTGTTGGTAACGAAAGTTTACATACATGTAGGTCTTGTCTGAAGGGCACGTTTCCTTCAAAGATGTGTGTGTGTGTGTGTAGGGCAGTTGAACTGAAATTAGTTGAAATGTAGTTGGCTTTACTACTCTGTGGTCGCCTTTGACGTTTAAGTTCGGAGCTACTTGAGATTAAAATTGCAATCAAAACTCGGTCATCATCTTATCTCCATTTCCAAGGCCTTCAACATGAAAAATTCATCAAGTCACGCTTAGGTCATAAATTGCACGAAATGTCCCTCACTTTCTTCTGAGATTTTGTTTTTGGTTTCAGACATGGAGAAAACTGAAAATGTAAACTCAATTAACTTCATAAAAATTTCGATCTATATATCAATTGATCCATGTAACAAGCATCACTTGATTTTTTTGTTAATTTTATTTTATTTTTGTCGTGCAATAATTCAATTTGGTGCTTGACTTCACCATGTTGTTAATTACTTCTGATTGCATAATTAAGACGAACTCCAAATCTTTCCGAGAAATTAAGAGGAAAAAAAAACAAAATTTTCACATGAAATTGAAAAACTTTTGCCGACTATGTATATAGTTCACACAATTTTCAAGTACCATAATAAAATGATGAATGAACATGAATTTGTATAATTATCTTTTTTCCCTACCGAAACATGATATAAAAGTAAAGGACCAAAAGTGTAATTCGTACATATAAAATTACCATGCAAACTAGTGCTATAGAGAGAAATGAAACGTTATTCTAGCTAGTTGTGTTAATGCGTGTATTCATGTCCTCAAAATCTAGTTTAACCTCTTCTCACCTTCCACATACCACTTTTCATAGCTTAGTTATTTTTCTGACCTAATTTACTAAACCATATAAATTCTCTATCCACATGATACCTTATTAAATTCCAAACATCAATAACATTCTGATTCTTCCAAAATCTTGGTCTTCTTCTTTAGAAATTCTAGATGGATGGACAAGATCATCATCTTCATCATCATGAAGAAACCCCACCAATAATACCAACACCATTATTAGGTAGTCCAATGTTAATGCCACCCCACAACCCTCAACCAATCTTACCATTTCTCTTTCCCTCATCAAACCATTATTCTTCTCACGATGATCCAAATCGAGTCATAGTACCAGAAACTATCCATCATGATGATTTGCCCGGCTTAGGGTTTCTTCCTAGTAGCACATTAATGCATGGAAATGATCAAAACATATTGCCATATTTCGCAAGTAATATAAATTCGGAATGTGTTGGTAATAATAATAATAATCTTCAACGTTATGTATCCCTGGCGGAGGCTACAACGGCTGCGGCGGATAATGAGAAGATGATGAGCTGGGCAGGTGGCGGGTCTACAAGTAGCACTGGCGGTGGCGGCGGCGGTTGTGGTGGGAAGAACAAGAAAAGTAGCAGTACTCCGGTGCCGAAAGTGGTGTTCCAGACGAGGAGCCCGGATGATATTCTTGATGATGGATATCGTTGGAGAAAATATGGCCAAAAATCTGTCAAGAATAGCAAGTATCCCAGGTAAATTATTTAACTAATCCTGATTCACTATGGATGTAATGTTGCTTTTTATGAAAGTTTTAGGCAAATTTGGTTGGAATTTTGGTTCTTAATTATGATTCACATATTTCAAAAGTGATTACTTTTCAAAACTGTAAATTAAGTTGACAATTCTGCCATGCAATTTTTTTTTTGGAAAATTTTTCATTTCAAAAGCTCGAACTCACACACTGTCAAGCTCAAATTCAGCAATATTATCATATCAGATTTTCTCGGTTCTACTTCTATCAGCTAGGGAAATTAGTGAGTGCATAAAATCGAAAAAAGAATAAATAAGAAAAAGAATAGGAAAGAGGATATAAGCTATATATTTCTTTCCTTGCTAGTTTGGTGAATCAAATAGCAAAGTTATATAATAGAAATAATTACTGAAAAAATGTTACTTTCATCTCCAAAATAATTATAACAGCAGGAGAGTGTATACTTTTTGAAACACACATACTTCAACGACTTACGGACACGGATATACAAATTATTTACCTTGTTTTTTTTTTTATCCTAGTTATAAGACACAAATTTTAACTATCGTTAGTTTTCATTTTTTGCTTTATAAATAGAAAGAACAAAGTAATTACATAATTTATGTACAATAAAACATGGAATTTTAAGTACAAACTTCCAATTAACTTGTTTCCTGTTTTTTTTTTTGGGGGTAAACTATGTGAATCATTTTTACATGTTATACACGTATTTCAAACATTTATGTTACGCATACATGTACTCAAAAGATTAAGAGAAATAATAATTAATCGTATGTATCAAATAATTCAATATCCTAATTATTTCTCTTTTTTTGGATGAATTAATTTGGTTTGTTTGCATGATAATAAATATTAAATAGGAGCTATTATCGGTGCTCACATCATACGTGCAACGTGAAGAAACAAATCCAGAGGCTATCAAAGGACACAGGCATTGTGGTGACAACTTACGAGGGAGTTCACAATCATCCTTGTGAGAAGCTCATGGAAACCCTTTCCCCTCTTCTCAACCAAATTCAGTTCCTCACTACTCGCTTTACTTGATTAATTCTGTTCACCTCTTTTTTTCTTGATCATCGTCATGTGTATACTCAACAATATTTAAGGTCAATTAACTAACGCTATGTGAAAAGATAATTGTAAAATTCTCGTGTTTGTTAGTAGTATAACATGAATATCGAGGTTGAATTTATAATTCACATAAAATATGTCTATTTAGTAATTTGTTAGGACGTATAGAATTTATTGAATCTTATATAATTAGAACTAGCTAGAGAGAATCTTTTAGTTTCCCTGTGAATGCTATTCGTGATTTGTCTATATTGATATTACATACACTGGTAATTATTAAGAACTTTGTAAAGATGGTTTGATAGATCCCTGTTGACCTTTAGTAATCATTCTGAAAAATCTCTCGAGAGAATTAAAGTTTCCGCCACATTTAAGCGCTTCACTTACAAATTCCTAAAATTATTATTAAGAGGAAAAAAAATTACTAAAAGGAAACAATATATAACACCCGTTGAAAGTTGTACAATTGGGAATTTTTTAATTTTTTTTAATTTTTTTTTTGGTCCGATGATGTTGGCAGGAAACAAGCTGATTTGTAAACAAAAGAACAATGTGATATAAACAAAAGTAGTACTTTTTTGGTTTGAGGTTTGGGTTATGTTTTTCTGTTCTATGATTGCCGCAACAGAATCGATCATAGCCTTGACATATGAAAGTATGAAGATGAGCATGGTGTGAGTGAGTGAGATATACATATTATTTAATACCTCTGAGTTTGACCAAACAACACGATTGCATTTACCTGATGTACCCAACAATGTTGAATTCATGCAAACAGGCTACTCTGATATTTTGAGGCATAACTTCCGAAATTAGGTTTGTAGAAATTGCCAAAGTAATAAAAGAAAAACCCCATGATGATTTTAATTAAGTTACAAACACTAATACAGAAAACAAAATAAATGGTTTCAAATACAAGTTTACCAAGATGTCTTATACCACTTTTGGTATTTTTAAACCTCTCCTGTCCTGATAACCAAAAGTTCAACTAAAATATATAATCCCAAAGACAAAATAAAACAAGCTAACAAACAAGGCCTCCAATACTTTCAAGATGGTGTCCATGGATCAATTATCACTGAGATACATCATAACGTCAAATTCTTCATCATCAGATGAATCATCGTGTTGCATATCTTTTAGATCATCTTCAACAGGGTTAGCCCTCATTGAACTGGAGGCTTCCGGCCGCGAGCTTCGTGAGCGCGATTGGCTAACTGCATGCAGCAAGTGCTGCAAAGCTCTCGGAGTTGTTCTACCATTGTTATGTCTTCTAGAATTAAAGAAACAGAAAAGCAAGTTAGCCATTTTTCTGACATCCAATCCATGATAAAACAATTCAATCACTGAACTATTTTTATTGGACGGAACTCGTAAATAAATCTATCCCAATTCTTTTTTACTTGAGAGCAAGTGAGGGAGCAGACCTTAATGTTGGCTGCTTGAGTGAATCCCTCATTTTCATTTCTTGATTTTGACCTGTTTTTGATATATATAAAGTCAGCAACAAGAAAACATTTTATTTATTTCTTTTTTTTTTTAATTTTTTTATAGAGTAGTTGCCGTGAATTTGATTTCGAAATGATTAAAAGCTTACCCGATTCAGTTGAAGCAGAAGGGCTGAAATTAAGTCGCAGTTCAGAGTCCAAACCCGGTTCAACATCACTTGTGACAGCAAGGACAACAAGAAGATCCGCTGTTGAGAATGAATTGTTTCAGAAATGAGAATAGATATTCCAAACCAAATTCTTAAACGAATTACACTTTTAATGAACATATTTGCTGTACTGTACCCAAACACACACACACACACACACACACACACTTGCTGTAAGGATTTTTACCATTAAAGTATCCAAAGGCTCGCAGAGAGTTAACCCCAAATTTCGTCATGGATGTCACATCAATTGGTTGTCGTCCTCTATCATTTTGCCGTTGACCCAACTTGACATTTTGTCCATTTAGCAGAATGCTACAAGCCCAAAACAAATTGAAAATAAATGTGAAAACTCTTACAATCTTGAAATGTAAACCACAAGTAAACTAAACCTCTACATATCATACTTCGCTTCTGGTGGAACTAAAGTACACCAATATGTCTTCAAGATGTCCTCTCGAACCGTAAACAGACTCTGCAAGGAAAAGGGAGAACGTCACCACAAAGAAAAAATGGATGTAATAAGAACTGGACTAACCGAGTTTTAGGCAGATTGATAGTGCATGTAATACAGCTTTTTAACATTTGCCTTAATGCATGTCTAATGTGGAAATCAATCAAGGCTGCTAAATAATGCTAGCAGATTTAGCATATCAGAAATGCAGGATAAATGCGGATAGCAAACCGACCAGTCCAAAATTTAACCTAAATTCGGAAGCACATAGTAGAAGTGAAACAATGCAACTTACTATCTTGTTCTGTCCTGGAGAAACTGTGGTTGCAGTAATTGGTATACTATCAACATAAAACTTACAGTCTTGCTGCAATGCCAACATACACGTTCAATAGAATTGGCGATATCGGGTACAAAGGGATCTTATAAATAAGGAAAAGAACAATTCAAAGTTACTTGCCTGGATTAATATGGAATACAGAATACGATCAATCTTTGTTTTTGTAAAGTACCTGCACGAGTGAGACAGGCGCATCAGCATATGCAAAAGCAACAACGAAGCCCTTATCCCACTATGTGACGTTGATTATATGGATCAGATGATGTCTCTTGCTACTTATATGATTTACAGCAATGATTTGAGACACATTCCCTTATGCCCACATTTCAACTTGGTTACAAGAACTTAAAACCTTAATGTCAGCAAACTGAAGATTGTAAGAGAAGTTAAGCTAGTGATTCTCATAAATAGCTAGTAATAGTGACTCTTTCTAGTGAAGGGACTTTCAGTTTCTTCATGACAAAACCAAGTTAAGTTATGATGGCTGGAAACATTAATGATAGCGCAAGTGTACCTTGATAAAACTTCTGATAGCAAAGGATGGGCAATCTTTGGCCTAATAAAAACACGGTCAGGATCCGAGTAGTTTTTCATGACCTGATCCAAGACAAGATGTATTAGATTCGATGTATGTGACACTATACATTATATCCAAAAATTTCTACTCACCTCCCTGCAAATTTTTAGCAAAGCTTGTCTGTCTTGGTTGGTAAACCACTCGAGTTTACAGGCAGACTGACAATAAAAAAAGAAAAACAAAAACAAAAAAAGAATAAGAATGAGAGAAATCAAACTAATAAGAATGGGAGACGAGATCACACAGATGCGACCACACACATATTGTTAGTATTTCATTGAGTATATGCGAGTCAAAAAACTACATCAAGTGATTTCACAAAACAGGATAATATAGATCATATCATCTATATAGCCGACCCTAGAAATTAAATTAAATTCGTTCTTTATCCACGAATCACCTGCATTTTACTTTAAGTTTGAATTAGATTTGACAGTGCAAACGGCTCAAGCCTCCAGAAGCTATTCACTAAAACAATGAATATATGAATGATGCTTAATTAACTTGGAATCTTAACAAACAAAAATTCAGAATCATGGATACTTACTCGAGCTAAATTTGATCAAATGTGAAAAGCAATAATTCATTTCAGGCGCAAATAAAAGGAACAAAATCTGTACTGAGGACAGAAGTTTTCAAATGTTCAACAGAAAGAGGGCATTTCACAGTTGCAATTGGAGCTTCTAAAGAAACCTGGTTGCAATTTGGCTTTAGTCATACACACATTTCATGCACCAAAATCCAGTTTTCGCATCATTTTGTGGACTATCGCTATTATTTACATCAAATGAACAGAATGATGGGGAATTATTACCTGGACAGACATTGTAAGCACCTTTATAGCTGCTAAGCAAGGACCGCCCTGACTAGCTCGATACATCTGCAACATGATTATATTGTTTAAATGTTTCAACAGAATACAAAACAACAAATGTATACCTAATTAACAAAGGCGTTAACACTACATCATTGAGAATACATAATAGGAACGAAAAGGGAAATATATATAATTCGCGCTTTCAAGAAGGTTCGCCGCGTGCAAAGCCCTAGCTTCATTGGAATTTCCATAACTTTTAAGGGTGAACATGGATTACCTCCATCAGCATTGGTGCTATGAAACGAGATCTTGTTGGAATCTCACCGTGTGCTATTGCAAAATCAATACCCCTGTAAACAAGAACCAAACAACATTGGATTTTACTTGAGACCATGGATTTTAATAACAAAACCAACCACTAGGATTCAAAAATGGTGTAAGGAAGGAAATTTCTTTCAACTTAATTTCAACTTGTTTTGATTTGACAAGTTCTATGTTTAATGAAGGAACTCAATTTCAACTCCATCTTTTCCTTTCACTCACACACACACACATCAGAACACCAACAAAGTGAGATTCTTTCAAGTTTATTATGACAAAGATGATATATGGACATTCTTCACATGTGGTATATACTCCCTCCGTCCCAAAATTACTATATGAAAATCCAAATTGAACAGTAATTTTAGGACAGAGGAAGTACAATAATTATACCGGTATTTCATCAATTTTGCGAACTTGTTAAGCTGAGAATCCAAATCGAGAACATGAGGATAACACAAAACAGGAAATCAAAGAGATGGAGAAATAGAATTCATTTTTTACTTAGCCACGGAAATGCAAAGCCTGTCAAAAGCATGGGAACTAATCACAAAGAGTTGTCCAGTTGCATAATAAGTAGCCACCGATTCCGCCGCTCTATTTATCACCGAGGACGCTGCACCGTCCTGTCTATACGGCGAAGCCACCTCATTGGCACCATTTCCGGCGGTGCTTCTGAATCCCCACTCCATTTCTTTCTTCTTCTTCTTCTTCTTTTTTTTCCTTTGATGTTTTTGTGTTTTAGTTAGGAAAGATAGAAGACCTCAGAGCTGAAAAAGCTGAATCAGATTGTCCAAATTCACACCGTTTGAGTTTGTTGGAAACATGCAAAAGAGAATACATATTACATCATCAAAAGCCACCAAACCAGCAAATCTTTTTTTTTTTTTTTTTTTTTGTGGGCTCATTTAATGAGCTTCTTTTTGAATACAGTATCTCAAATTAAATCCACGGAAAGACTAATGAAGAAATGACCTAATTTGGTTTTTGGTATTACCTGAATCCAATCCACTTCAATTCTCGATGGAGGCAGATAAGGAAATCCAGTACAATGTCTATTCATTCACATTGTTTTGGCTCCAGATAGCATGAAATGAGTGTAACATAACGTTTATACACTTTAGTCACACACTTACAATCGTTACAAACAATTTATGGGTAGCATAATCCCACGAAATTCTTACTACTAAAAAAGCAGCCGTTACTTTTACTAGTATAAAGTTATAAACTTTATAAGTTACGTCAATCTACTTATGTTTTATGCATTGTTGAAGCGGTTAACTAGTATGTTGCACGTTCTTCCTTCACGTGTTTTGATCAGAAAATTTTCTTATGAAAACTGAAAATTCGTATAATATTTAAATGATCTATACTAATTGTAATTTTGAGGGGGAAATCAAATTGATTAACTTGTTCCAAATAATAATTCCCGCGTAGAAAATTATGAAAATTATTGAATACAATCTGTTTTGATTTATCGACTTATTATTCATCGACTTTTCTTAGTAGATGAGAAAGCCGACTCCTCAAATTCTATAAAGAACAATACATGTGGTTAATTTCATGTCGATCACGATAAATCAACAAATAAGAAATCACTACCTTGATTAATAGAAAATTCAATTTTTGAATCTTTCAATGTTTTAATTTGTATCGCTCCGTGTCGTGTTATGTAAGCAAAATATCAATTTTGGATTTATTTTTCATGAAGAGTTTATGTTATGAGTACTATATACTCCGTGCCATATATTAACAATATGTCTTAGACCTATATTCGTCATCTTTTTAAAGAAAGCGAATAGATGACCAGAACAAATTTGCCTAAGAAATGTAAAAATGCATTGCGTAATTTAATTATCTATAACCTTTAAATTTAAACGGAGTTAAGACAATCAACTAGCTAACAGAAAACAATAATACTTCCTCTATCCTAAAATTGTTGTCCAGTTTGAGATTTTATTTTTAGTACAATTTGAACTAAAAATGACAATCCCAACTGGACAATAATTATGGGACGGAGAGAGTATTTTTTAATAATTTTTTTTTAAAAAACTTCATTGAGTTGTTTGTCGGCTTTTCTACTTGGACAAAATAGTCGACGCCAATATATTTTACTGTCAATAGTAACATATATATTTGTATAAATGTAAAAGGCTAGATGGTTCAATCCTTTTTCTCAGGGAAAAAGAATTTATACTTGCTCTTGAACTACAATTTCAACATTGGACCCAGTTTCGGATGTGTATGAAAAATTATATAACCCAGACATTATTTTTGACTAATTCATCTAGTTAAAATTTATCCGGTGAAATTTTGACATGTCAAATTGTTCCTAAAGTGAGAAGTAGGGTATCATTTCCTCATCCTTGTTAACAGATAATCTACTATTATTTAATTGGCTCATGATATTACTAGAGTAATAATTATGTGTCATAGCAAAATTGCACTATACGTATTTTCCAAAATAGCCTTGTCGTGTCAAACTATGATTGTATTCCATCTTCTTATCTCATCGCCCAACAGATCCATCGAGTTTCACTTTGTGCATAATTGATTTCATTATTGTGTCCCTTCTGCAATATCACTGTTTTGTCATTCATCCTCGGGAATTGTGGGCAATCACTTAGAAAACAATAATTACGTTGTTAATCTTTCTTTCCGATGTATCAAGGTTTCTTATGATTTGAAATGTATCAAGGTTTCTTTTGGAATCCATGCCAAAAGTACTTTTACAAACTCTAAATTTGGTGGTTGAATTGCAACAAATTTAACTGTCCCGTTATAAATTTATTTTAATAGATCTAATTGTAATAGAATCATGAAAAAAATGAAATTCGGGAAGAATTATTCCATCTAGCAGGCAAAGTATCAAGTTTGATATCACATTTAGAAACCCATAGAAAACAATATCAACAATATGCACTTAAAAAAAAAATTCCTCCTCCGTCCAAAAGAAAACAATGATTCTTCACAGGTAATATTATACACATTAATTTTTATCTCTACAATATTTCAAAGATATTTACATCCAAATAAATTTTTTATTTATACTTTTGATTGTTTTTTTGATGGTTCGTAGAAGTTCACTAATTTTAAGTTTTTCCACTATTTAAATAATTTTGATATTTCAATTTATAATAAAATAAATACGTTTAACCAAACTCTTTAAACATTATTGGCACTTACATTCTTCTAAAATTTACTATTTACGCCAATTATTATTGAAAATTTTCACAACCCGTGCAGCATACGGGCAACCACTTCTTGATATTTCAATTTACAAAAATCTGTACTTATCCCATACCGTCTTTACATCATTATTGTATATGTTATTCATGAAATTATGCTTTACACTAATTGATTTAGAAAACATTCACAACCTGTCCAACGACGGGCCACCCACTAGTACACAACACATTATCAGCTGTTTAATCTAAAATCAGATTCAACCCTCAAATCTAGATAAGTTGTGATTAATGCATAATCACCTGATTTGGAAAAAATTGAGGAAATAATTGGATAATTTAAATTTTAGTGAAAGTTCCTACATTAATGTGGTCACTTTTTTTTTTTTTTTGAGGACAATGAAAGAGACTAATGCCTTAAGTACTAGAACAATAAACAATCATAATTTCTAAAACTATCAATAGAAATAATAAAATTCGCCATAAAGGACAAGTGATAACCACAATATTTTTTAGTTGTCCAACCCAATTGTTACACAAGATCGCTCTATAAATGACATGAAAATGGATATGCCATTAGAGATCATTCCAAGTCATGATGATCACCACATTATTATACATTCATATGACTTGAACATCTCAAAAGTGGTTTATTTGGCAAGTTGATGATGTGATCTTGGATGTGTTACTAAAGGTTAATCCTAACTTTGATGATTATTACATTAATTTTGATCATATAGAGGTTGAATGGAATCATATTGGAGTTGGTATCAAGGATGATGGAAGATTGAACCCCAAAATTATTAATGTGCTATCAATAAATGGAGTTGGCCCAATTGAAGAAGAATATTTTGGCCCACACTACAAGATAGGGCTGCCTGATCTCATCTCCTAATTTTAAGAGTTAGAATCTCTATCTTTTAGGGATAATATCATTTAAATCTTATCACACTTGTGGCAAGATAAGATTTGAAAGATTCTCTATCTTTTAGAGATAAGATTATTTAAATCTTATCATGATCATGGAAGGATAAGATTTGATGATTCTCTTTTATCTACATTTGAGTTTGTTCACGATAAGAAGACTATTTCTTGGTATCTACTCTCAACCATTGGATAAAGATTAGATCAAAATTGGATGGCTATGATTACTCTACAAAAAGATATTGATAGAGTTGACAACTCAGGAAGATTTTTTTCAAGTTAAAGATAAGATTCTTTTGAGAGAATATCTCATTGTATTTGGAGTTTTATTTTCATTAGACTAGTGTGTCTTAAGTCTATAAAGGTGTCTAAATACATTGCCTTAATAGATAAGACACAAGTTATCAAAAGTTAGAAGTTTATTTGATTTCTAGTTCTTAAAGTAGGAATAGAGTTAGAGATCAAACTCTTCTCCTACTTCTTAGGAGGATTTTCAGACCCCTCTACTATAAATAGGGGTGCTTGGCCAAGGTAGGCTTTTTGATGAATTTGTTCAATACAAACTTGAGAAGAAAACTCATTGTTTCTTTGACCTTTTGAGGTTATTTGCTTTTTGCAAGATCTAGTATTTTGCATAAGGTAGCGAACGTGCATCCAAGGGTAGTGTCCTTGTTTGCGGAGTTCTTTAGATGTCATTGTAAGGAAGCACATCTATCCATCGTCATCATAATCTTTAAGCGGGGGTTGTTAGAGTCGTTACTCTTGGGGTAGCATCAACATCACTTTTCTTTTTTTCTATCTTTCCATCCCTTTTTGGTTAGAGTTTTTGTGGCTCAACCTTCTTCGTGTTCTTCATGGTTTTTGTGTTTTTGGGCCAAGAATCAAGTCCTTGGGCAAGCTTCCGCATAATTCAAGTAAGATCTATATTGTCTTGCGCATTAGAATTTATTTTGCCTATAGTTTTCACTATTGTCCGAATAAATTCACATCACTAAACTTTATAACCTTCCTGGTCTTGGAATCATCCATGCTCAAACAGTATAGTGACAGGTGAGCAGTATTCGTGCTTAATGTGGTCCCCTTTTTTTTAAGTACTAATCAGATTGAAATTTGGAAATTTGATAATGTAAAGTTTCAACCATGTTATAAGTGGAACTTTGAACACATTACATGTTTTCTAAACAGGACCAAAAAAAATTTTCACAGGTGTCTCATCAAAACAACAAATGGGAGCAGATCATGTTGTAGAGAAATAGGATGTGTCTGATTTAATAAACTAACAGGAAAAAGATATTAACCAAGTAAGGGTAAACGTGCGTAAACATTTGTTCATCAAAGAAATTTCATCAAGTTAAAATGATGGAATTATACAATCATTTTCTTTCCATTTTTATACGAAGGGTTCACATTCGAATTCCACATCCATGTCTTCTGCCAAGCTCTCAACATCCAGTGTGATAGTTAATTGAGTACCGATGGGTATGTTGGCTAGGATCCTGAACAATTCCCAATCACCGTAAATGTACATTGGTAATATTCCAGTGTTCTCATAATCATGGTCACTTTTATCTCTGCGCAATGTCATACATGTATGGCGACCCTTGCAGATCAACCAACAAATCATTGTATGCATAAGATTATGGCAGAGACTCAGATATCTTGGAATCATCTGAAAATATTAATGAAAAAGTGGTTTCAATGCCTAATGAAATGAGCCAATATGATTTGCAACAGTAAGTGTAAAAAAAACATAGACAATGAAAATAATGAGATAGTATTTATTACCACTCTTGATGTACGGATAGTTTCTCGATCGAGACGGTGTGTGAAATAATCTTCCCCTATTATTGGAAGCTTGTGAAAACTTCCCATGTTGTTACCTAGGAAAAATATCAAAAAATTATTAGTGTTACTAAGTGTGCACAATAGTTGCCCACATACTTGATGGTTGTAATTAGTAGTGGAATTTATGTGCATGATTCAAGTTTCATGAATTTATCTTATGATGGTAATTACTCCTTAATGTAGTAGAAGCAGGTGATGTTAGAACATTACATGTATTAGTTAACAGACATAATATTCACATGAAATCCTAATCTTGTTCTTACATAGATGTTAAGAAACAAAATCGAAGGAATTCTTAGTAAAAGGAGTTACCAGCCAAGTGATAACATTTGTTGCATTCTTGCTGTATGAGGCTGCCATCGAAATGAAATACGTTTGATGTGAAAATGCCGGCTTCAAAATAGAAAACAATGTGATAACCTGGCTCAAGTCCATAGAACTTGTAAAAATATTTCCACGTTGGTCCATAGAAACCAACAGTTTGACCTGCAACTATCAAAAGGTCTACTTCCATGATTTGTTGCCCAACCTTCAACACAGCAACATCACAAGTAGAGTAATTCAAATATTTCCAGTATTCAGAAGAGATGATCTGCACCATAATATCAACTGATTAGAAAAATTTCTTATGCCTTTTTTTTTTAGGAGAATCCAGGGCGGTACCTGGCGGGAGGACCCCGATTTTATTAATTTCTTATGCCTATTAACTAAATTCCTATTTGTAATGATATCATTATTAAGTTTGGATTTTCATACCGCACACGAATACGATTCCTGACCAACTCTGTAATGATAGCAGATACTCTTTAGGCCCATGAGATGTGAATGTAAGAGGCCGACTTGACAACCATTTTCTCCAAAATTAGTTGTGATGAGTTCATAGTTGTCCTTCATCATGAAATGAATGAAGGAATGCTCTATGATTCCCATATGATCCATGTACGCCATGAGTGTGTCACCATACATATGTATTCTGTGGTTTCGAGTCATTCGAAACTTCACACGAAATTTTCCTAGGGGAGTTATTAACAGTATGGTGTTTCCGAGGTGTCCAGTGAATGCTCTGCTGAATTTTCTTGATAAAACCTGCATCAAACAAACAATCAAATGAATGGTTTTTTTACATACTAGTTTCATGTATCCATTGCGGAAAATATACATATTAATGTCTTTTGGATGGACTTACCAAACCAATGTCGCGGTAAGACTGTGGTACTTTGCAGAGATATTGAGATGACCGACTCATGGTGATTCTTGAAAAAAAAAATAGCATACTAGTGTTAGTCACTGTAGTAATTCGCAATTGTTTAAGCTATGAAATTTTGTCATTTGTTTGAAAAATTTAATTAATACTTGAATTTTTGAGATTGAAATATTCATACTCTTTTAGTGTCCAACCCTCTCCAGTAAGATTAGTCCTTTAGTTGTGGAAAGAAATTTAATCTGAATATATATGAATGAAAAAAATTGAAACTAAACATGTTGCAATATTTCATCTTCTCTACAGTGACATAAAGTCAACAAACTGATTTAATCAATTTCCAAACAACTACATACAAGATGGTAACAGAAGTTAAAAAGATTGTCATTCTCATAAATAACTAGTAATGGTGACTCTTTCTAGTGAAGGGACTTTGGGTTTCTTTATAACAAAACCAAAGTTATGATGACTGGAAATATTAATGATAACTTAAGCGTACCTTGATATAACTTCAGATAGCAAATGAAGGACAATCCTTGGCTTAATCATATTACGATTAGGATCGGAGTAGTTTTTCATGACCTGATCCAGGACAAGATGTATAAGATAGGAATTCGATGAATATAATGTGGCCCTATACATTATATCCAAAACTTTTACTCACCTCCTTGCAAATCTTTAGCAAAGCTTGTGTGTCTTGGTTGGTAAACCACTCTAGTTTACAGGCAGACTAACAAAAACAAGTACAAATGAAGAGAAATAAAACTAATAAGAACGGGGAGATGAGATAATAGAACATATCATCTAGACAGTCGATTCTACAAAGTAAATTAAAGTTGTTCATTATACACAAATCGATTGCTTTTTACAATAAGTTTGAATTAGAATCGAAAATGCAAATTGAGATTCATGGGTAATTACTCAAGCTAAATTTGATCAAATATATATGAAAAGTAATAATTCACTTCGGTACAAATAAAAGGAACAAATTAAACATCCACTGAGGGAAAAAGTTTTTCAAATGACCAACAACAAGAACCTTTTCAAAAAAAACCAACAGCAAGAGCATAAAGCTCATAGAAGTTAATTTACATGCATTTTACTATTGCAATCGGAGCTATTAAATAAACCTATATAGAATTGCAATACAGGCACTTATTACCTGGATAGACATTGTAAGCACCATTAAACCTGCTAAGGAAGGTCCACCCTGACATGCAATATACATCTGCAAGATACTTGATGTTAAAATGTTTCAGCAGAATACGTAACAAAATGTAAACCTAATAAAAGAAGGCGTCAAACACTACATCATTGACAATACATAACACGAATGAAAAGAGGAAATATATATAATTCGCGCTTTCAAGAAGGTTGACGGAGTGCATAACCCTAGCTTTATTGGAGTTTCCATAACTTTTAAGGGTTGAACATTGATTACCTCCATCAGCATTAGTGCTAGGAAATGAGATCTTCTTGGAACCTCACCATGCCTTATTGCAAAATCCATAACTCTGCAGGCAAACACCAAACAAACATTTGATTTTACTTGAGACCATGGATTTAATAACAAACCAACCAATTAATTAGGATGCAACAATATTGGTGTAAGCGAGGAAATTTCTTTTTAACTCAATTTCAACTTGTTTTAATTTGACAAGTTCTATGTTTTATTGAAGGAACTCAATTATAAAACCAAGTTTTCCTTCCACACACACACACAGAGAGAGAGAGAGAGAGAGAGAGAGAGAGAGAGAGAGAGAGAGAGAGAGAGAGAGAGAGAGAGAGAGAGAGAGAGAGAGAGAGAGAGAGAGAGAGAGAGAGAGAGAGAGAGAGAGAGAGAGAGAAAACTCTCATCAAAACACCAACAAAGTGAGATTCTTTCAAGTTTATTATGACAAAGATGACATCCTTCACATGTGGTATATACAAGAATTTGTTACGTTGAGAATTCAAATAAAAAACATGAGGATAACACAAATAACAGGAAAAGAGAGACGGAGAATTCATTTTTACTTAGCCACGGAAATGCAGAGCTTGACAAAAACAAGGGAGCTAATCCCATTGATTTCTCCAATTGCAAATTGAGTAGCCACTGATTCCAGTGTATCCCGCAAAGCCACCTCATCATCACCATTTCCAGCGGTGCTGCTTAATCCCTTCAACTCCATTTTCTTTCTTTCTTTCTTCTTCTTCTTCTTCTTCTTTTTTTCTTTTTACCCCCTTGATGTTTTTTTTATATTTAAAAAGATAGATCTCAGAGCAGAAAAAGCTGAATCAGATTGTCCAAATTCACACCGTTTGAGTTTGTTGGATTCATGCAAAAACGTGTATTAAGCCACCCCTTGATGGCCTGACCCCACCAGAAAATTTCTGCCTTATTTAATGAGTTTCTTTGTAAATATATCAAATCTAATTCACAGAAAGACCTATGAGGAAATGAATCAAATTGGTTTCTTAGTATTACCTAAATCCAATCTTCTAATTCAATTCAATTCAATTCTTGACCATCATAAATGAGGAAATTTGTATCCTCTAAGATTGCATAAATTAAATTATACCATTAATCACTTATTAGTCATAACTCAGTGAAATTTTTTACTCAAAAATATATGTGTACATTGAGCGACACAAATAGTCACTTTTGGACAAACATTTGTACACTATATCCACACATTTATCATCGTTAAAAACAATTTATGGGTAACAGTATCCCACATAATTCTTACTACGTAAAAAGGCAGCAGTGTTGAATTTGAACCTCAAGTTTTTTTGAGGATTAGCCATTACTTGTATAACGTGAATAGGTTTATACGTTACGACTATCTATTTATCTTTAATGTCTTGTCGCATCAGTCAATTAGCTGTTATGTTATTTGTTCACATGTTTTGTCCAACAAATTTTCTTATGAAAAGTGAAAAATAATAATGATCCACACTGATTGAAATCTAGATGGAAAAAATAATAATGATTAATCTCCAAACAAATTTCCGTATAAAATTATGAAAATGATTGAAAATATAGATTTTGGATTTCGTCTATTTTTTCATCAGTTTTTCTAAATAGACGTTGACATCCAAAATTTCACAAAAAGATACAAGCATTTCATTTCATTTCGATAGCATATTAAATCAATTTGAATATTTTTCGAGAGTTTTGCATCGCTCCCGGTCATTTTATAAAAGCTAATAACCAAATTGAAAAGTGGAGTACATGTATTGACCTTTTTGTCTTCTTAAAGTGAACGAATACATGACAACAATAAAATTTGCCTAAGAAAAATAAAATATATAAACTGTGTAACTTATGTATAACCTTTGAAATTTAACCAAATTTTAGAAATCAATTAACATCAAATAATAATACCTTTTGAAAAATTTAAAATAATACAATGTAATAGATTTGGGGTTTTTATATATCGACTTGTTTGTCGATTTTTCTTAGTGGACTAAAAAGTCGATGCTAACATTTTATACTGTTAATAGTAATATACTTCCTCCACTGAAATTATCGTCCACTTTAGATTTTTATTTTTAGTTCAATTTATACTAAAATTGATAATTCAAAGTGGATAATAATTTTAGGACGGAGAAAGGATTTATTTGTGATAAAATTCAGGCTACATAAAATTCAATCTTATTTCTCGGGGGGGGGGGGGGGAGAAAACATGTATACTTACTGATGAGCGAAAATTTCAACCCCATTTCGGTGAAACCAAAGAAATGGCTATCAGAAACAATGACAGGATAGTCGAAACCAATGAGGCCTGGGAAGAAAATGACATACTATAGTTGTAAATTTTCTAAACATTTCTCTAATACCCACCATAAACCTTAACCCATATGGAGTTTTATTTTCAAGTCTCCAGGTGATTCATTCAATTGTTTTTCTTTTTTCATTTTTTTGTTCTAATATGAAGAAGGGGATAAAATATTAGTCCATACAACTTAATTTCAGAAGGGTTAACTATTTGTTTCGTAATCATATTGGTTGATTAATAGTTGCTTTTGAAAGCTTATTTTTTTCTTTGTCAATAACATGCATGTTGAAAGTTCCACTATTGGATTTTTTGGGTAATGAAATTGGATTGTAAACCATTTGATTCAAACTTTTCTTATTCCGAAAAATAAATAAATAAATCACATTGTAGTTTATGATTTGAATTAAAAAATAAAAAGTAATCACAAATTATAATGTGAGCTATTTTTTTATTAGATTAATAGAATATTTCTTAAACAAAATAAGGAGAAGAAACAATAACACTGCCACAAAAACAAAAGAAATCACTTTTGTATTAAATTGTACACATTTTTAATTATAAAAGTAAGATAAACATAACACACTGTAATAATTAGTCCAGAAAATGACTTCTGCCACTATATTTATAACCCAAAAGAACCAACATTTAAAGTAGCTGGGACGATAAATGAAATAAATGGTTTCATACACAAGTTCGCCATATTAATGTCTTATAACACTTCGGTGTCTTCTAACATTGTTTCCAAAGAAGCAAAATCAAAAACCAATGTAATACATTATATATACCAACCCAAAAAACATATAGAGTGGAGTCCCTTGTTTTGGTTGATGATCATCTTCTGCTTCAGGATGATTCTGTTCCGCTTTCGTCATCACTTTAAGAGAATGGAAACAAAGAGAAAAAGAGAAACTTAGTTTAAGCATGTTTTTTCATTTAATAATCCACAAAAAATATAACTCAATGAAATGTTGTATAGAGAAAATAAATATTTGCCCTCGAGCAAGTGAGGGGAAAACAATTAACAAACCTTAACTCGGGCAAGCTGGGAAAGTCCCTCGTTTGGTTTTCTGGAGTACTTTGATATGTTTGATAGGTAAAATATCAGTAACAAGAAAACATTGATCAGTCCTTACAAGTTGATAAATGTCAAATTTCACTTAGTGAGATAACAACTTAATGAGTTCTCGTTGTTGTCATAAATTAACTTCAACATGGTTCAACGATCTACCTCTGGAATAATGTAGTGGTAGGAGCACGATTTGGTCGGAATCTCCTATTCGTGAAATATATTAATTTAATTTACTAGGCTTTTGCTTTCTTTTATTCTATCGGGGGAAAAAAAACCTTCAAAATGGTTCAACGTACCAGAGTCAGTTGAAGCAGAGAAGCCAACATCGTCTCGCGATTGAGAGTTCATAGTGTCAGAACACGATTCGATACCACTTGTGACAGTAAGTACAACAAGAAGATCATCTGTTGAATGAAGTTGGAGTGAATTACTACCAAAATAAGAATACGAGAATGGAAAAATATTCCAAAACAAATTCTTAAACAAAAGTCATAAACTTAATGTTAATTACTGGACACATTTCTTCTAAAGGATCATTACCAACAACTTTTCCAAAGGCTTGCAGACAGTTAACCACAAGTTTAAGCATGGTAGTCACATCAGTTGGAAATGGTCTCATTTCATCCCGCAGCTGAGTGGCACAAGTCCCCAAAAAAAGAAAAAAAAGGACCAATTTAGAAAACATGCTTTCACCAAAATCAGCAAATGGAGATTCAATGAATGAAAATAGCAAAGTTATACCATTGAAAGAGTAGTTCTTCCTTCAACATCATTGCCATTGATCTGAATGCTACAACATCAGAAAACAAATTGTCATACAAAAAACTTACAATATGGAAATGTAAACCACAACAAAAACACAAAAAAGCTCTACATATCATACCTCACTCCTAGTGGAATGAAAGTACACATCGATGTTCTCAATTGGTCCATTTGAATTGTGAAAAAGCTCTGCATGAAAATGGGATAACGCGTTACTATGGAAGAGAAATTTGACAAAATATACAGCATGGATTCCTCGAATTTGAGTCAGATCATTAGCGTCGATTGCAGCTACATCAATGATCATAATGCATGTCTATCATGGAAATGAATCATTAATACAAGATATGCATGATTAATACGACTAGGCTTTCCATAGTTAAACCTGACTTCAGGAACATAGATAATAAAAGTGGAAAAAAAAAAGTAACTTACTATCTTGTCACGTCCTGGAGAAACTGTGAATTTAGTGATTGGTAAGCTAGCAACACAGAATCTACAGCTAGGCTACAATGCCAAAGCACAATACATTAGCACTTGTAATGTTGTTTTCAGAATGACAATTAACAACTAGAAAAAAATAGTCTAATGAACTTGTCTGGATCAACAGGGAAAATAGCATACGATCAATCTTTGTGTTTGGGCAAAACCTGTATAGGTGAGACCAACGCATATATATGGTACGCGAGCAGAAAATATCATTACTTATATGATCCATATTCATCACGCTTAACTGATTTCCGTACTTTTCACGTTTTAACAGAACTACAGGAACTTAAACCCTTGTTACAATGATATGTGACTTGTACCTTGATGTGACTTGTGATAGCCAACAATGGGCATGCCTTTGTCCAATCAAAAACCTAAGGATCCGAGTAGTTGCTTATGACCTGATTCATGACAAGATTGATAAGAAGTGTGTAATCTCACTATATATATATATATATATATATATATATATATAGTATACAAATATCCTACTCACCTCCTGGCAAACCTTTAGGAGATCTTCCGTGTCTTGGTTAGTAAACCACTCAAATTTGCAGGCACACAGACAACAAAATGGGAAGAACAAGAATAAAGGGAAATCAAACTAATAAAAAGTGGTAGAAAGAAAGAAGCAGGATGATACAAGGCATGTCATCTATATAGCATATAATGGAATAAAGTCTTTGTCCATGATTTGCATGATTCTTTAAGTTTCATTAAGACTCAAAAATACAAACTGCTCTAGAAGCTTTACACAAGAACATTGAATGAATTAATGAATGGTTTACTCAAAAGTATGTGTACTTAGACTAGCTAAATTTGATGATACATGCGAAAAGAAAGGCTTCACTTCCACGAAGCAAAAGGAATTAGGACAAAAAATTTTAAATGTCGGATGTCAAGAGATCATAAAAGCTCGTTTCTATAAGTTTACATGAGCTACACTAATGAGATTTTGGCTTGTTAATAACAATATCTAATTACATTAGGACTAATTTCATACTGCAAAATTAGTACTATAACACTCATTTATATCCATTGAACATAGAATGATGGCCTATTTATTACCTGGACAGACAGTGTAAGCATC